GAAATCTTCTACCAGTTGCAGTAATCTCCCACTGGTCATAGTGAAACTGCAGAGCACAGGACATGGCAGTTCCTCCAGAATTCAGATGGGGTTGCTTTGCCCATTTATAAATTCAATAAAATCAGTATTGCTTCGTCATTTCTTTTGGATGACTGGCTTATGCAGGATGGAAGTTTTTATGATATTGGAATAATTCACTATCTTATAAGGTAAACTTCTGTGATAAACTTCATTAGTACTAAGTTCTTCACCATAAATACAATACATTCAAGTACCATTAAAGTATATTCTGTACTACATTTTTTGAGTCAGATTTCTAAAGCTTTGTATAGCCCCAGCACATAGATGGCACTATAGCTAATATAAGGGAGAATTAAATTAAATGTTTAGAGGAACCAGTGGATGAGTGGAAATCAATGAAGATCAATCTTTTGTTTTATGATTATGGTTTCAAGTACTTCTTTTTTGCAACCTTTCCCATACTGTCTTTTTGTGTTATGAAGCATGGGTATCCAAAGGATAGGAACATAAAACTCAAGGCAGCAGTTGCAATTGTGCAATCAATGTAGTCATCTTGACTTTTCAACATTCCTGCCATCAAGGAGCTTTGTTAAATCATTATGCAATAATGCAGGCCTTTGGTAGGTGTCTTGTGTTCCCATCCAGTGCACTGATCCATAATTTGGATGGAATGGGGAATGGGTGATGTCTCAATTATTGTGTCTTATTAAAAAGTGTGATTTATGAAGTGGTTAGAAAACAAGAGAGCCAGTCCTGCCTTAGGCATTAAACTGTGGGGTGACTGTGGTTCAGTCTCTTCCTTTTAGCCCAAGGACAGAGGTAATCCAAAAATATTGCCATAAAAACTACTTGGACTTGTCCATGTAAGTCACCATGAATCAAGACTGAACTGAATGTACAAAGAATAAAGTGACTATATCTTAAGTATGCTTAAATATAAATATTTATATTTTCTAAACCAGGGGTAGGCAACCTTGGCTCTTTTAGGACTCGTAGACTTCAACTCCCAGAATTCTGCTGGCTCGGGAATTCTGGGAGTTGAAGTTCACGAGTCCTAAAAGAGCCAAGGTTGCCTACCCCTGTTCTAAACATTGTTCACTTTGCTTTTCCTTTATATATTTATTCGTATTTTGTATTCTTTCCTTTATTTTCTATTTTGAAAAATTAAGATTAATGCAGATCTGTGACCTTCCAGAATTGAGGTGACAGAGATGAAAAAAGTACCAAATTGTTTATATTATTTAAATGCAAAAAGTTTTGACAGCACACTTCAGAAAACAAAATCAGCATAGAACAATACATTAAGAAGATATTTACATTATAGGGTGGATTTTCCATTTTATTATTTCCACAGTCAGACCACAGTTTCCTGCTGGCAAGGAAAAACACATGAAAAGAGTCCCTAAAATTATTTCAATAATTGATTGGCATTTTCAGAGGTTTTTACTGAAAATTTGTATTTTAAGTTTATTTACACATTAGGAGCAATGAAACAGTGGTTAAAGCAATGGAGAAATCTAGTTGCATCTGAAACCATAGGATCACATAGCATCATTACTACAATTCTGGTCTAAGAATAGTTGCTATATGCTCCTATTTGCACAAGTGCTGCAATCTACATCAATCAAAAAATATCATTCAATGAATCCCAATAGGCTATGGTACTTTGCCTTTTGAAAAGTATTGTGTTTTACATGAACTAAATTTGATCTGAAATGACTGTTTACACATGGAAGTAGTAATATATGCCTCACACATGGAATATTGTAAGAACTTATCAACGCATACATGCTTATAAACATGCCTTAACCACATTTCCCCAGCCATGGAAAATTTAATAGAGCATGCCTAGATATTTGCACTCAGAATGGAGCTCCACTGTTTTTAGTGGGGCTTATTTTCGCACCAGTTTTCATTTTTAACTATGCTCTTAAATCTCTTCTGTTTTGATCCACAGAACTTAAATTCTCCGTAAATGTTGTTAACTTGTAACTATTATTTTCTCCCATCAACCTGACAATAAACCTTAAAACAGATGACTCTGATTTTACTAAAGAATGCATATTGTAACAAAACAGAGAATTACTTTTGAAGTAATATGTTCAGAAGTTACAGAAAAGGAAGGCAATATCTTTTTCCTTTTCTAGAGCATAAACTCTCCATTTGCAGTGAGGATGCCTTCAGAGAGATAATCTATTAATTCAGCAAAACAGAGACCTGATCAGGAGTTTTCTTTAAATGGCATTAATGTACTTCTCAATAAATAAGCCATATTTGTTTTATCTTGGTGGTGCATTAGTCTTTTTTGAGGTAGGCCAGGTCAGAAAACAGACTCCACAAGGACTACTGGAATTCTACTATTGTTGCAGGAAATAATAACAGAATTTTGAAAGCCTGAGAAGAGTATATATGTCTCTCTATTTCATACCAAAGAAAATCAAGGCAGGAAAATTTTGAGTTTCTTCTTATTCTTTCCTCCCTTTCAGGACTGACCTGCTATTTACAGAATGCAATCACCACTGCATTCCTTCTTCAAACCATCTCCATAATCCTCTCCATGATGCCACAATTTTAGTAATATATATTGCTAGATCATGTAGCATGTATGTTGTAGACCTTGTAGAGATCATGGATGGATGGATGGATGGGGCTGTCAGTGACAGAGGTGAGGTAAGGCCTACCCTGAAAATAAGACCTGGTGCCTCTTTTGGAGGCAAAAAAAAAAAAAAAAAGACCCGGTCTTATTTTCGGGGAAACACGGTAGTTCCAAAATGTCCCAAAAATTTCTTAAAGATTTCTAATTAGGCTTATTTCAAATTGGGATGTTAAAAAGTAGTACTGTACAGCAATATTCTATACTAAATTCTAGCCAATATCTTTCTTTGTATAAAAATTGCAGGAAAATGGTGAAATTAAAAACAAGCTTATCAGGACAGAGAAAAGATTAGTGTGGCTTTGATTTTATAGCCTGAAATAAGAAAACGACAGCATCAAAATAAATACAAATTCTATGGATTCATATATCCTGTCCATTGTCTCCTTATTTACAATATTAAAAAATATTTACTGTCCTTCATATCAAGCTATACTCCTGTATTTTATATACATGCCCATACAAATTACTTGGTAAAAGTTTGGAAGTGTTTACTAGAACCTTCATCCAGGATGGTTTTTTTTTTTTTTTAATTTCCTGTATTAGTTTATAGCCTTTGAATTTCCTAACAGTTTCACATTCAAATGCTAATAAATCCTCATTCTACTTAGCTTTTGATCCAGATCAAGTCAACTAGATGCATTTTAATTTTTCATTATTAGAATAATTCTTTAAATAGTCATGATTTTATATTAAGACTATACTCAGCAGTTAATGGCAATATTTTTCAGTCAAAGAAAAGATCCTCAAGGCAATGAGCAAGGCACCTTTCTGTTTTGTTTTGTTTTTTTGATAAAATGTTGCAATCCCTTGTGGACAAACTGTAGAAGCCAAATACTATAGCTTCTTTAATTCTCAAAACTCAGTAGAGAACATTTTAGTGAACAAATAAAAATAGCTCTGACAACACCTGTGGAATCTTCCTGTGTCATTTAGAATTCGGTATAATTTACTTTGAAATGTTACCTCCAGACCATATTTTTAAAACATGTGTTACAAACAGCCAATAATTGGCAGCAAATCTCCTCTGGATTCTTTCCAAAAAGGTAAGATTAAAGGTTCCTGTTAGGCACAGGCCTGCTGGCAATAGGAAACAGAAATTTTGCACTGTTTCCCAGCCTTCCACCTGAAACTTACATCTGACTTAAAAAAAAAAAAAAGCACAACAGGAGGTGTAATTATTGGAATAATCAACCCTTCTATAACCTTACTGAAGGGCTGAGGTGTAGCCAAGTGTCTGTTTCCCTTACGAATATGATTATTTCATGGTGAGCTCAGTTAACATCCTCTTTCAGTAATTATCCAAGTTCTTCTCGTTTTAGAATGATAGTCAAATGTTTAATTCTTTAACAGTAATGAGCCTGCCAATTTATACTGTAAAAGTGACATTTAAATTACAGAGAGCCAAGGTTATGTTGAAAATAACCCCACCGTTTATGCATCCTAACCCTGGGTGCTGTGGTTTCCATTTTCCATCCAGGGTCCAGCCCCACCCTACTACTCTTCTTACTCTACTTTAGTGTTGTTCAACCTTCACAACTTTAAGACATGTGGTCCTCAACTCCAGTATTGGCTGGATAATTCTGGAAATTGAAGTTCACACATCTTAAAGTTGTCAAGGCTGAGAAATACTGCTTTTATTTCATCGAATCCAGCCCGTCTTTAAAAAGTGGTTTGCTGAACTACTTCTCATATCTGCCTGCTTTTAAGCATGATCCAAGGCTTTTGATACAGCTTTTCTAGTGAGCTTTATAACTTTCTTTCTCCCCCCCCTCTCTTTCTCTCTTGCTCACACGCACACATCAAATTAGTTGGGGGAGGTGTCAGAGTAACCTACTCTAAAAAGAATCAAGGCTAGAGATTAATCTGCCCCTCAAGATCAACAATACTTTATTTGTTCTCCCACTTATTCAGAACATTATTTCAATCCATATTACTTTTATAATTTCATATAACATGTAAATTCCCAGAATCTCATTATAATAGGATATAGATTCCAGAAGGGTAATTTAAATATTTCACAGTCCACAGGGGAGAAAGAAAATGTATGTAATTTCTTGGAAATGAATTAATTGTAAAATATATTTTTAAAGCTAGGTGCTGAAAAGTGACACCTGAGTATAAATTGCATGCCACAGTTAAAATGGTATAGTGTACAATAAGTTGTGATTATAGAAAGTCTTTCTCATTAGTATACCTTTTAGTACGTACTACTGCAGGGTTTATCCTACGGTTTAATTTAAAAAAAATGTAGAGAAAGGAACTAATAAACAGAGCTTTCTTGAAATATTGAATGATGTAAATGAAAAATGAATATAGCACTTACCACGTCCACTCTCTTTATTTTGAAAGTCATTTGTTTTACTTAATCTGTTCCATGGTAGTTACTTCACAGTTTACAACTCTTAGTCGGCACCTTGAATGTTTAAAAGCACAACAGTAAGAGATTATTAAAATACAGGTCTTTTATTAATGAAGCAATTTGTATGAAAACCTTTGAAAATAATTCCTTTTATGCTTTGGGCAAATAGCTGCTATTACTCAGAAACTACATGTTAGAAACAAGTTTAAAAATCAACCATTTTTAGTAAATTCCATCTGAATTCTGTCTTTGAAGTGCTGAATTATAATAATAGTGAGCCAAGTCTATACCAAGTCTAGAATACCAGACTGAAATAAATGCAAATGTAAGAGATGTTCTATATGTGGTACAGTTTTTAACAGTTTTAACTTTCTCAATAAATGTATATGTTTATTTTCTGACTTATTCATCATGCTGAATAAATTAAACTGAAATTATTATGGCACCATTGCAGATTGTATATTTGATGGAAAATGTTGAAAAGATGGCTTTATGTCAGCATGGTATCTTATTACAACTACTATTATCATTACTTGTCCAAATTTTTAGTTGTTTACTAATATGTGCATTACACATATTTTGTGCATTATCAGGATAAAAGAAATACTGTGTGGTCAATCTTAACAGCAGATACTAATATAAAATTAATCTTGATCACTGTGAAATCTCTTGATGAATTTCTGTAGATCAGCAGAATAGTGAGTTTAAAAAACAACAGACAAATGAAAGGTGATGCTTTCTACCGCTCTCCTCACTTCTATATTTTGATTAATTGTTTATATGGTTGGTATCAACTCTTAGCAACCACATAGATAAATGTCCTCCATGACAATCTGTCCCTATCTGGTCCTTCAGGTTTTCCAATAGTGCATCCATTGCTACAGTAACTTTATTTCTGATCTTCCTTTTCGCTTTCTTTTCCACTTTTCCCAAAATCAGAGCCTCCTCTTTGCATAATGTGTCTGAAGTAGAGTAACTTGAGCATGGAGATTTCTTTCCTTGCTTCTCTTTTTTGGGGCTTCAGTGAGAACCATTTGTTGTTTGCTTGGCTGTCCATGGTATTCTCAGAAGTCTTACCTAACCTCCAAGTTCAAAAGTGTTAATACTTTTTTTATCCAAGTTCTTCAAAGTCCAATACTGTACTTGTATATTGGATGTTGCTTTTTAATACATTGCTAAACCTTAAACCTGTATATTTTGCAACAGGCTCTACTAGATCAGTTTAGAATTCTGATTCTTCTTGGGCAATAGTCTCTTGCTGCAGATTCTGTGTCTTGTATGGGTATAGAACTGGCTCAACTGAAAATGTAGACAGCTAATGATAAAAGTAACAGTAGCAATAGCACTTAGACTTATACACCACTTCATAGTACCTTACAGCACTCTCTAAGCAGTTTACAGAGTCAGCATATTGCCCCCAACCATCTGGGTCCTCATTTTACCAACCTCGGAAGGATGGAAGGCTGAGTCAACCTTGAGCTGATCAGGATTGAACTCCTGACAGTGAGCCAAGTCAGCCTGCAATACTGCATTCCAACCACTGTGCCACCAAGGCTCAAGTAGTACAGTAGTAGTAAGGTATCATACTGACTTAAAGCAATCTATTCAACATCTTTCCATTAAATGAATAATTCTCTCCCTCACTTACAAATTTATATAGCCTGTACCTAATACTGAAAAAATGAGAAGTATTTCTGATGATTAGCTTGTGGTGACCAATAACAGTTCTATATCACTCCTTACCTTCTAAATCTAAAAGCTGGGAGAAGCTAAACTTTTCTGCGTAGTTCATATCTTATAACTACAGTATATAATGACTAAGCAACTGATATTATTTAGTGACTATTACTTCTCATACCAACTGGTTTTCATATGGTACACCTAAACATTTGTAAATAAACTGTCTAATACAAACAGCATAGTGAGTCTCTGTTATTCTCTTTGTAAAGGAACTGTAAAGGAGACGTGGAAACACCATGCAATATACAGATTTTATTCATGCTATACTAAGTTTCTAACAATTCAAATTCATGCATTGATTTATAACTTTTACTATGTCCCATGTTTTATTTACAGGTAAATATGACTACCTTGCACTCTGACTTTTTTTGCTATTTCAGATATCTTCCTCCTCCATCTGTGAGACCATTTTAAAGGTTTGCAAATTAACAAATTCCTCCTACATTTGATACAGCTCTACAGGCACAACATATGTACAGGCATTTTCATAGAATGATTGGTTTCTCAAATGTTTGGCTATGCAGAGTTCTCTAAGTTTATTTTGACAGACCAAGATGGTTTAGTTTTTCCTTTAGTAGGCATTGTGCTTGATACACATTAACCAAGTTTCAAGGTTTGTTTAATTAAGGCAAAAATAAAGGTATGCTTTAAAGGGAAGAAGCAGAATTCTGAAATGTAGAAATCTAGAGGAATTCAGAATGTGTGGCTGTGTTGGCAGATACTGTCATTTAGAATGAATCAGGTACAATTTTTAAGGTTGGTGCAATCCTGTGCACATTTTCCTTACATTTTTTTTTCATTGAACATTATGGAATTTACTTGGAATAAATATAAATAGGATTAGATTGTCAAAGTGGAAAAGGTAAGAAAAAGGGTTTGTGTATTTGTTTAAGAAAGTGAGCACTCACGAACCTCAAATATATAAAACACAGCAAGTTCCAAGTCCGTCAAAAGGGCTAGGAAGATAAATGTGTCTCTCAGAAGCAAGGAGAGAATGTCAGAGTGTTGCATTTGTGGATACTGAGGAAAAAGCACACACCTTGATCTTCGAAAAGCATATTATGTTGGATATAAGTGCACCTGCTTAGATCAATTTATAAGAGATCAGTTTCCCCAACCTAATGCCAGCCAGAAGGGCTTACTAGGACTGCAATTCCCAGAATTCCTCACCTACCACGACTGTTTGGAATTCTGGGAGCCGCGGTCCCCATTGGAGGACATCAGGTAGGGGAAGATTTAAGTTAATGGAATTACACGGTACACCTCAACTATCCCTAGGAGCATATTGTCTCCAATGATGTCAGCTTGCCGGCCATCTAGCCCGTCACTATTGACACTTTGAGGCTACACTTTTCGCAACGCTGCCAGAAAGAGCCAGAGGCTGTGAAGCTGGGAACATCCGCCTGCCAAGCCTGCGCGCTCCGCCACTGAGCTACGCCCCCTCCCTGAGAACTCCCAGGCTGTTAATAATAGCAGAGCAGACAGAAATTTGAGAGGCGAAATATTTTCCCAGTATGGAAAGGTTTTGAAGGGGGAAAAAAAAAAAAAAAGCTTCCGTTCCTGAAATTCTAACAGCACTAGGTTAAAAAACACAGGAACCTCGCCAGAAAAGAAGAAAGGGAAAACGGTGATGGCAACCCTGCGCATTTCACTTTACCAGTTTGCAGTAATCAGAGACGATTTCCCTGAACAGGCTGCCCCAACCCCCCCCCCCACATCCACTAATCCCGATTTAGAAGCTGTCCGTTTAAAACGAGAAAATCGACAGGTACTGCAAAGCGGGCGGGGGCGGGGGTGGGGGGAAAGAGATGTTCCGAGGGCCGTTTTGCTTCAAAAGCAATCATAAAAGGAGTCGAGAAAGTTCTGTGCCTTCTGGAATTTGGACACCCACCGGTCTACTCAAAAAGAACCTCGCTGGACTCCCTAAAGACCAGCATAGCTATTATCTCATAAACTTCCGTGGATCACAGCGAACTTAACTGGCTCCACCCGCCCACAAGCAAAGCGGTCAAGGGAAGCAGAACAAGGCTGCGACCTACGCAGCACCCCCGGTTTTTAAAGTGAGCTCCCTCCCGCCGTCGCCGAGCCCAAAGCGTCGCTGCGTCGGTTTTCGGGCCACTCGCAGGAAGGACCTCAAACAAACGCCGCCAACGCCGCCGCCGCGCGCTTCAAAGGGCGGCTTGGTTGAGTCGGACGGTGGGCGAGGTCGGCCCAGCCGGCCGCTTCGCGTCTTCTTCGCTGTGACCCCAGCCGCGCGCTTGGCAGGCCTGGAAGGCGAGGGGCTACGGCTGTGGTCGGGGCCGATTCGCTCCGCCCCCGAGCGGCTCAGTTGAAAGGGTTAATTTGGGGAGGGGGAAGCGTTGTGGAGATTCAGGGCGCTTCGAAAGAAGCCGCGCACTTTGGAACCGCGTCGCTCCAGAGGAAGGAAGGCTTCGCTCAAATCTCAGCCTGCCGAGCCGTCTTTTGAGTCTGCCGCCGGCCTCCCTTTCAGACTCTCACTGCGTAGGTCGGATCTTTCGACTTTCGGCTCCCAGGGCAACGGAAGCTCTTAGGCAGGACGAAATAAGCAGGATTTGGGGGATATAAAAGCAGCACACGAGTTTGCAGATTATCTCCCTGGCCCTTGGCGTGAGTGGATTCAGCCTGTTAGACAGGGGCTTTGGGCAGCTCTTGGTGCCCTTCCCTAATCGTCCATATGTTTCAGGCATCCCTATAAACACAAGGCCTGTTTTTTTTTTTTTAAATCCATTTTTCCTATGTTTGCAATTGTGACAAATGAGATGTCATGAATCAAAATCTCTGCCCTGGTTGGAAAGTGGATGTCCAGGAAGATCCTGGGAAGGTGTATTACCTGAGAGCAAAATCTCTTCTTTAAAAGGAGCCCCATGGGAGATATTTCTTCTTCAGGAATCTATTTCCAAATAGTGTGTCCCCTAAAACCCTCTTTTCTGTATCTTACTGGTCTGACTAAACAATTGGAGCTTCTTCATAAAGCAAGCACAAAGGTTTCTTGAGGCTCACGAAGCTCACTTCACATAGCACCAGGTTGCCATGTAGTGGAAGGTCTGCATGTGCAATTAGAGGAACCAGTGTTTTCAGGGCAATGGCAAGGACTAATCCAATGAAGAATGCTAAATTTGGTGGCCCTATGTTTTTTGATCATGTTTTTTCCAATAGATAAAAAAGAAAGCAAAATAATTCCAAAGCATGTCTCTGCAAAATTTCTAATGCTGTGATGGGGGACAAGGAAAACAAACAAACAAACAAACAAACAAACATAGCTGTAAGGTAAATTTTAGCCAATGCCAAAGGCT